CACACTGAGCGGCTTAAAGCAACAGAAATGTATTGTCTCACAACTCTGGAGGCTAGAAGCCAGAAATCAAGGTGTCAGCAGTGCCATGCTACCCCTGAAACCTGTAGAGGGATCCTTCCTGGCCTCTTCTGAGCATCTGGTGGTTTGCTGGCAAGCTTTGGGATTCCTTGGCTTGCAGCCGCACAACTCCCATCTCTAAAACAGCATCTCAACTGGTCTGCCTGCCTTCAATTCAATCCCGTCCAGTCCATTCTGCAATGTGCATGCTGGAGTGTTCTCTCTATTCGTGCCACGTTTTGCTTTTCATTCTTTGGGGGTTCCCTGTTGCCTTCAGGACAGAATCTAGACTCCTTATCATGCCCACACTTCCGACATCTAGATCCTGTTGAACTCTCTACTTTATCTATTTGCCTTCTCACTCTGCTTCCCTCAACACATCACACACACACACACACACACACACACACACACACACACACACTCTTTAATTTCTTCTTTGCAAATGCGGTGTTTTCTGCTTGTAATACTCTTTTCTTTCTCTACACTTTCTAGTTCCTTCTCATCTTTCAAAATGTTGCCTTAAAGTTATGGATTCCCTAACATTCTCTTTATTTACTTGTCTGTCTCAGAGTGCTGTATATTTCTGTATCACCAGTACCTGACACAGTGTCTGGCAAGTATAAATTGTTCAATAAATATTTACTAAATAAATGAAGAAAATGAATGAATGATGAAAGGGATGAGAAGGAGAAAAGGTAAAGATGAAGGAAGGGGGTTTTTTTCAGTTGGAGAGGAGAGCTCTCAGTGAGATAGTTACAAATATTTCATTTAAAGAAAGTGATGCTATTTCCCAAGAGTAGGAACATATTTAGAAATTCTCTGTGGACTTCAGAAAGCAAAATTAGCACAACTACTGGATCAGACACTAGATCACCCTGTCCTACCCCTCCAAAGGGCATTACTCATGCCACTGTTGTGATCATAAAGCTATGGACACTTTTCACCACCATGCCTAGCAGAGACCTGGATGGTCCTATGCACATTACAGATTGAAAGGAGGGTCCACCTCGCTTTTACCTGGCAGCACTGCACCCACCGAGGCCCTGGCTCCCCCATGGCCACCCAGAGAGTCCACGCAACACTACTTAGAGGTAGCATGGGACCAATTCTAACCAATGAAAGACAGAGGAAAGAGAAAGCCAGGAGAGAGATAAATTGCTTGTCCTTCTTGCGCTTTTCCCCCGGTGCCTGTTCTGAGATGCAGTAGTTTAATATGGCCTCTCTGGAAATGTCTGCCAATAATTCAAACATTTGTGTTTGCTCTCCTTCTTTGTTTATTTCCCCCTCTCTCATATTCCTGGGATTGCACCAACCAATAAAATGTTATCATTTAAGTGTTTGCCATAGGTTCTGTTTTGGGAAAACCTAGGCTAAACAAGTAATTTTTAGAATTTTCATATGTTAAATATATCATGCATTATTAGAAACAGAAACAGATTAAATAAAAAGTATTTGTAGTGAAAACATTCACTTATTTGCATTGGCTTATTTTTGGACACTGGGAGAGTAGTTGTAGGGAACTGTCACTGAAAATAGTCAAGAAGAAATGGAGAACAAAGAGTCAAACAACAAAGAAATAGTCTCCTTGTGGAACATCAACAAGAGAAAATCAGAAACACATGGCTATGGTGAGTACAAATATATTCCCCAAAGAGCTAAGTTTCCATTAAAGGAGCATTTACCAAGGAAATTTTCTTCCATTGTGTCTGTTTATAATTTAATGTGCTTCCTATGTTATGGAATATTGAAATGTTAGATTCTAGGAAAATAAATACATCTATTGTGTGACCTACTTCAGTGAAGATAACTCAAATTGTCTTCAGTTTATATATTAAGTTGAAATAATTTTAAGACACAGCACAAGCAACTAATATTGGGAGAAAACGCAGAAGAAATGACAAAAGTACATCTGCTTAGCAAGGCTGTTTGTAAAGCTCGAATGGAAAAAGGAATTTGGCCAGAGGAGGGAGCGCACTTCCTCACTATGGAAAGTTGGCATATACCATACCATGATCTCAATCTGTGCTGAAAACAGTTTTAGACATTGAACCAGATCCCAGTTACAAAGGTGTAAAGAGCACAGTCACTTACCTTTAAATATTTGCTACTCCAGAACGCTCTGTTACTTGGCTGGTAAAGCATAAAAGGTCCTCTCTTAGAAACAACTACAACCAAAACAACTGGGAAATACTTATTGCTTATTCATGAAAGTATGAAAACTATGATCTGAGAAGTACTCTATGAGTATACTTCGGTTTCAGAATGTCTATCCCTGCAGACACTACAGCATTCACTGAAATAGTTTTTCAAATGTCTTCTAGTGGATTCGTTAAGATTTTTTTTCCTTTTTTAGATTTATAAACTCAGACCCAACTTACACTTCCTGAAGGGGCAATTAAAGTTGAAATGTACTGCTTTTTAAGCATTGTCTTATTTCCTAGTGTTTCTTTAGGTCTGAATATCTGAAGAGGATCATAGTTTTTCCCAGAGAACAGCACATACCTGTACACACATTTTTTGCATAAAATGCTTGGGTTTGGTAGACATCTTATACGTCCAAATACTTTCTGGGATACGTGAACCTTAGGTCAAAACCAGCTGTTTTAGGTAACTTTAAAAGTCACCTAAAGATGGATGGATACAAGTAAGGGAAAGCGCTAGTAAAATGAATATTTCGGTTTGCCAATAAAAGTAATAACAAAACCCAAAATTTATAGATAGAAACAATGGATCTTCTATAAAATGCCTAAAAAGCTATATTTTAGGTCTTGAGGAAAATCTAGGTAGCATCTTATCAGTTATCTTTTTAATGAACTTCTTAAGTAGCTGTTTTTGAGAAGGATCTATGTATGTACTCCAAACACCTTTCTTCACCTTAGCTGTCTGAAAGAATATTTAATCTTCAAAAAGGGATTATTATTTGATTCTTTTCTGGAACATATATTACAAGGAGAACTAATTTATACTGGATTTTAACTAACTTCCACATGATACTTTCTGTCTAATAAAAACTGGCTCTAAACCAAAGGCTGGCCCAAGTTAAGTTGAAAATAGAGGTACATGGCAAATGTTTGGAAATTCAGTTTTCATATCCACTGAGCTTCTGAACTATAATTCAGAATCTTGCTTACAGTTAAAATATTTAAGACTGTGGAAAAAAATCATCATGTGTTAGGCATTTTTTGTGAAGAACATTCTAGAGTGAACGTTTTACACGAGCAGCCAATAAGTTTCAGATGGTTTATAAGTGGCAGGAGGTCCAAAGCTGAGATGGAATTTTCTGTGACAGCCTACAAATAACAGTTAACATATGCCTAAGTTACAGTCAAAAACAGGAGTCACCGTAAAGTCAAGTAGTGAGTAAGAAAGGCCGTAAGTTAATGAATAAAAACCTTTTTGTCCAAAGTTCTTAGCAAAAATGTTAGGTACTTAAAGAGCAAAACCGTCTCAAATATTTTTACAGAAATTATACTTATTGGAAACAAACAAGAAGTGACTTTCAAAGTCATAGTTTACACCCATCATAAATTTGATGTATTAAAAATGTAGATAAGAGTTAATGCTGGTATAAATTAACAAAAATATAAATTCTTCAATTAATTTAATATTTGATTCACACTTGCCATTGAAGTTTCATCTCGATATGTTTCTGGTGATATCTGCTTTTTTGTCCTATTTCTTGGTCAAGATATTTCTTGACATTGTTGATAAAATAAGTCAATCACTCAAAAGTCTTCACATTTTCTTTGTTCAAACCTGATATTATCTCGTATTTCAGTAAGTTCTTACAGCTGTGGTTTCACAAATTGTTATCAGAGCTTTGAATTTACTTTTTAGAGCATCTTCCCTGCAGTAGGGACCAGATGGATGTATCATGTCATAATGTGGCCTGCCTAAACATCTTTGAGTGTCATCATACCTATCTTACCTAGCTCAAAGGGTTATGAGTCTGAAACGAAATACATAAAAGAATTTTTAAAACAAGATGGTGTGGTGTTAGCAATAATGGTAGCAGTAAGTGTCGGTATTCAACAAGAAATTCTGCTCCAATCACTAACCATGATCATAGGACCTACCTAAATCTACTCTAGATATAAGATAGTACTTACAGATTCCTGAATTATCTTGCTACACTATTGCTGTAGCATAGAAATCAGTGGTCTTGCTATCATGAATATCTGTGTGTGTTTTTCTGTTTCTTTTCTAGACTGGATTATTTTAAAGGTCTTCATTTCACTAACAGGCATGAACAGAGTGGTATATTAAAATAGAAATTCTGTGTATTTACTTATGTTTTGTGTTTTTCCAACACTTGACAAGTAAGATTAGTAAAGTTAATTAGAATAGTATAAGTATGGAATAATCTGTATTTTTCTAATTCTATAAGCAATAAAATGCCGTGTCAATTCTTTTGAAGAAGCCTATTATACTATTTTTTAAGTGCTTCAAAAAATAAATATATTGCTTTAGAAATGTGACAAATAGACTTAACCAATTATAAAATGTAATTTTGCAGTAACTTCAAGTCTGGAATGGTCTGACCACTCATACTGACTGCCTTGAGGAAAGAGACACTCAACGTTTACCAAATTTTATGAATATTTGATTTTTGTTCCTGAACTGTAAATCTTCAGATCTCTCAGAATCCCAGTATTTTAGAAAGAATTCACATCATTCCCATCTCCAAATTGTCTATTTCATTTAGCTGAAATGAAGTGAAATTCTGAGAGAGAAAATAATGACCAGGACTCTCTGGAAGTAAATGTAAGAAGTTTAAGCTAACATGTGTTTCACTGTCATAAGGTCACTGTCTGGACTGTGTATACTCTGGATCCTTTTCAGACCTCATGGAAGTTAATTTTAGTCTTACAGAAGGGACAGAGAGAAGCAGACTGCTATCTTTGCAGAAAATGTCAAGGTTAAGCTTATGACCACCTTACCTTTCTGACTTCCTGTGCCTTATCGGAGAGAAGTAAGCACTGCTTGTCCAGGGAGAATCCTTCCTTGCATCTGCTTGCCTGGGTTTCGGTGGGTGTGTTTGGGGCAGCGTCAGGGACAGCAGCTGTGAGATTCCTTGCGCCCCGGAATGTCAGGGTCTGGTAGAAGAGACAGATTGCCACCACCAAGCCCACCAAGAAGGGCCGGGGGCAAAATCGCCGACGACAAAGGAACACTGGACGACAGACCATGACCAGTTCAGCTTCACTTGGCCCCTGTCCACGTTGCCGGAAAAGTCATAGCAGCTATTTTTTGTCAGCATGAAAAACACAAATCTGTCTTCTTTTTCCACAACTTAAATCAAATCAAGATAGCTCCATCCCCACTTAAGAACTTTCCGAAGTATCCTGCCAAAGAATCATCAGTCCCAAAAGTCTGAGGCGGTTAGTAAGAGCCCTTCCATGGATGACAGTAAAAAGTGGTTGGCCTCGGTTAAAAAAAGACATCAAAATAATAATAGTTGTAACTAATAACCTGAGCGTACCCCAGGCTGTCAAACTGTTGCTTCCGGTAATGCCTTATTTTTCACAACATCCTTAAGCTCACAGTAAAAGCTTCACAGGAAAAGAGAAACAACACCAAAGTAAATCTGGAGTCTAAAAACAGCACTGGAGAACGCAATAGGTTTATACCAAAGTGCCTGTTGCACAGCTGGAGGCGGGCCAGCTTGCCTTAACAGTTCCTCATTTTTCCTCCGGTTTTAAAGCTGTCCTGCTTTCAGCCTTTCATGTTTCTTAACTGCTTCCCTTCATTCCATTGTAAACTGCCACTTTCCTGTAAGCCTTCCCGGCTTTTAACAGAAAAAGGGAATACAGGGTCTGAAGGGACATGGTTACCATCCGCAGGGTTTGGCTTGTATTTGTTTCATTCCGTTTCGAGTTCAAAGTTCTACGTACTTACTCAGTTTTCATCCTTTTAGCCAGAAAAAAAAAAAAAAAAGTTTCCATGATCCCCTAATGGATTGCTGATCAAAATCACTCGGAAGGAAACACCCAGTCGTATGACTCCAATTCATCTCCCACCCACGGACACACTCACGCAGGCACACAGAGCCACACGCGCGCGCCGGCCGCACTCGCTGAGGGGAGCGGGGAGCAGGGCGCAGGGAGCCGGGCGCGGGGCCCGCGGGCAGCGCAGCCACTGTCCGGCGAGGGGGCGGGGCTAAGGCCCGGGCTCCTAGGTCCTCGGGGGCGGCCGGAGCGCGCCGTTAGCCCAGGATCAGAAAGGGTGGGCTTCCCCAGACTGGAAACAACATTTCTCATTTCCCCTGAAATGTGACTGTCCACCCAGAGCTGCAGAATTTTAAATACATATTTGATATTTGACCCCTTCTGTTTTTTTTTTTCTAATACAGCATTGGAAAAACAAATAGCCCTTCGTCAGCTGATGTCAAAGTTCGAGGGGGAGACTAAAGCAGGCTCGGTGAGGGAATTGGGAGGATCTTCACTCGAAGGAATTACGGTCACTCTTATGGGGATAAGAGGGTCACGGGTACTGTCTGGACCTAAGAACATGAAAGTCTGTTGTATGCACTGATTCCACTGGAAATGAGCTTTTTCTGCTCAGTACCTAACTCATATCACATTATTGCTCCTTTTCTGGACTAGGGCTGAGTCTTTCAAAGGCTAATTGCCTGACACTTCACTCCCATGATGAGTGGACTATAGCAGACGGTTGGTAACTTTTGGACATCAGAAAGGGGTACGCAGCACGCTTTGCCCAGAAGTCAACTCAGTCTAATGCTATACAGACTGCCACGAGGAACCCCTAACAGGGCAAGTCTGCAAACTCCATCCACTTTTGCTGAGTCAGCTCAGGGAATGCCATGGAGAAAGGCAATCTGTCCAGTGCATGTTGCTCACCTCTCCCAGCCTTTGCTTTGCGATCTCTGGACACCCAGGACTGGCTTAGGCTCACAGCAGATATTCTTCCAAGGCTCTTCTAAATAGGTTTTGTGACCTTTTTCTGACCCAAACTCGTTCTTGTGGGCTAAGGTTCTCCGGTGAGGCCACACCTCTAAAGTGATCCCATCCGTTAGGCACGCTGTCAGTCACTTGTATTTTGTGAGACGGAGCGCCCCCTACGGGTGCCTCGCTATTACAGATTCAGAGACAAAAGGTCATCTACGCTTCTCGCTTGTAAGAAACTACTTTAACGCCTTAACATATTAATTAAAGCTTTAGAGAATAAGTATTCACACTAAAGCTAGATTTATCCCGAACCCTTGCATATATCCCCTCCATTTTTTTTTAATATTTTTTATTTATAGATTCAGAGTCCTCAATCCCATGACAAGTGAAGTGTTGATAGCAGGGGAAAATGAAGTGGCATTTTTTTAGAAGCCGAGAGTTTTAAGAGGAAATGGTTAAACAGTAGTGTTGGAAGATACAGTTACAATGTAATTTGAAAGATAATAGGAATTGGAGATCTCTAAACTGGAATTGTCCTTGTGTTGGTGTGATCTGAGGTGAGACAAAGTTCTTTACTGGGTGAAAAGGAATGAACACGCATTTCTATTAAGGCAAAAAGTCTGAAGACTGAGAGTCTGAGGAACCTGAGGGGTTATTTTTATGCATTATTAAATTGAAAACATAAACCAGATGCTAAAATCATATTGTCTTTGATCTGGGAGAAGTGAAAGACAACAGCATAGTTAATTTTATAGCTACACTTCAAGTAACAGGAATCAGAAGATGGCAAATTAGTGTTCTAGAAATGATACTGGCAGGTTGAAAAACCCAGTGGGAAGATGGTAAATAAACGACTATCTGCAGAAGTGAGAAAAGGGATAATTAGAGTGGGAAGTTGGAAAGAAGAGGCGGGAAATAAGATACGAATAGACTAAGGCAGTCCATAGACAACATCTGACGTTAGAGTTAGCCCCATCTGGGTTTAGAATCATAGCACTGCCTCTTATCACATGGTTTTAAACAAGTGATTTGTGAAATGACGGTACTAATGCTTCCTTTGAAATGTTGTTGGCGTGACTAGATGAAATAATGTATACGATAAGCGTTCTGTGCACATGTGTTGGAAAAATGCATGCTGAATGCATGTCTGTTATGTTTTCAATCATGTGGCTGAGCTCAGTCTGGTTTGGTGCCAGACATATGAACAGATAATTATCAAATACCGGGCCTCTTGGAGAAGCCCCCAAAGCAAACATGAGCACTTAGTATTAGTTCTCTTTCCTTTATTCTTTGAGGTGATGGTGGGGGGCCGACGCTGGTTTGGGAGAATGAGAGCAAGAGAGGGATAAGAGGAAGGTGGAGACTACAAGTGGGAGGTATTTACGCCCTAGTTGTAAGGCAAGGTGAAGTAGGAGCATGTGTTAGAGTCTGGAGGTGTCAGATCAGGGAACAGTGAAGACAGAGAGTAAGTTGTTTCAGCGAGAGGAGTAGGAAGGTAACACGCAGTAGAATTATATGAAACTGTGGATCGTGGCAGTGTTTCAGACTGAATGTTTTTGTGCATATAATTTCATAAAGTACCTCTTTCC